TAGATTTACCAAGGTGGAAATAAACAAGAGTAAAAGCCTAACCAAGAAATGACAGAAAATATATTCAATTGCGAAAGGATATATGTAGGTATTTAAAAGTGCATTAGTTTATGAGTTACCCTCAACACTAGCTGTATAGAATCATTCCGTTAAAACGTATAAAAAAGTGAGCACGCCTTGGGAATATTTTTTAAAGTAAATCAGACGCTTTCCAATTGAGATTATTTGCTAAAATGACAATCGTTCAGAAATAAATGCATACAGTTTTCCGTTAATAAGAATAAGAAGATATGACTAACGAATGAAAAATAGATCCGTACGAAAGATTTTACGGATAAAAAATATTGTGGCGTCCTTAGGTCTAAGCATAAAATATCCAGACTTTGTGACCAAATTAAAAAATTCTAAACCGATTCTTTAAGCTCTTAAATAAAAAATAATGGACAGAATGAGCAATTAAAATAACAGCGTAAAAATATTGTGAAAACAAGCAATAGTAATAAGGATTTCATGTATACTCGAATATACCTGCGAGATTCAAAAATCCAGGCTGAGTTACCACTTGCATCAATCTGATTCCACCATCGAAGCCCAACCAAAAGTCTTCCGGATACATTTTTTACGAGCCAAAAGTCCAATGAAATACACAGTAAAATGACAATGAAGGGTGCAATAAAAGCCGTAGTAAACCATGAGCACGTCACATATATAAGAATAGCGGCAAGGCGGAATGAAAAATGACACACTAGGGCCATTTTTAGGGTCCGAGATGGAAGTATGCAATTTGAATGTTCATCGGCAGAGTTCAATGAATCATCGTCTTCTGTTAGGGCGCAAACAACTTCATCACGCGCATCCATTAGCGCATATAGAGGGAGACTTAAAATTGATGTCAAGTGGTGTGTCTATAAGATAAAGGAGTAACACACCAGAATATTTTAAAGCGTAGTGAGTATAATACCTGTTTGATAAAAAATAACTTTTAAAAATGCTAAAAAACCCTTTC